GAAAATTGGAACAGAGGAAAATTCTTTAAGAAGAATATATTGGGTGGTCAGAAAAGTCATGACGCATTTTTGCATAGAAAAACATAGAAACATACATTAAGACTTTTTTGATGACCCAATATTACGCCTCTCACCAAAGTGACTAAGAGAAAAGAACTGTCTGATCCTGGGGAAGAGAAAGATCATTATGGACTCTTTTCTCGTCCTTCCCCACATCAAACTTTCTTGTTGCTTCATCTCATCCTATTCCATAGTTCTTCTGGTCTTGGATTGTTGCTTCATCTCATCCTATTCCATAGTTCTTCTGGTCTTGGAAAGTTTAAGGCCCGCTGGGGCTACAGTTATTGGCTGGTCCATTCCTTGAAACAATGGGGCTTAAGCAGCAAAGCACATACATTTTTAAAAGTTATCCCAAGAGGATAATGGAGAAGTGATTTGGGTATGGCCATCCCCCTAATGAAACCATGTATATGTGACCTTTAAAATACTTTAGAGATCTCTCCGCTCCTCCTTCTCTCAAATACACGGGAAGCCTCCAAAAAGTAATACTTGAGGGCAATGGCTCTCGAACATTGCCTATACTGGAATCACCTGGAGGACTCTGTGCTAAAGCAGAGACTGCTAGGCCAGTGCCCAGACTCATCCAAAGGTCTGGATGACACGCAGGAATTTGCATTTGCAACAAACACTCAGGTGATATTATGCCGCAGGTCTCGGTACCCACATTGAGAATGTCTAGCCTGGACACTGAGCAATTCTTAAAGAAAGCAAGAAAGGCCATGCGTTGTGATTCTCATGAACGTCCCCTTCGGTGGTTTCCCAGCTCAGAGAGTCTAGTTCCCTCATAAACAGAAGTAGCAGCAAATGCGAGGTTACTGTAGGAAGCAGCGTTCTGGCATCCCAGCTGCTCACATTACTTCCCCTCTCTGCAGGCCCCTCAAGATGCTTGGAGTTAAAGTATCAAGAAAAGGAAAGTGAAATTATGGAAATAGTCATTTTTATCCAGTCAGCTCTTTAGATTCCCATTTTGCACCTTGGCTGTGTTTCCATTTTATCTCTTAAATTGCCTCGGCAGTGGGTACTGAATCGCACAGATTTAAGTCAGACCTTCACACCTCTATGCCCTCACTTTTTCCACCTCAAAAAGTGAGAATAACAATAGAACCTACCAATAATGTTGTTATCCAGATTCAATTTCATTCTGCATGTGGGCCCAGCCTCAGTGGCACATCAATCTGCAACACTGGAAACCACATGGCCGGCTGCTGCAGGTTCAAATCCTGAGTCAACCAGAAATGGCTATATAAGCACCCAAGATCCTAACTAACTGGAGGGCACGGGAATGGGACTGGGGAAAGACAAGACCCTACCCAGGATTCCTGTTTGTCTTTTCTCTCTCCCTCTCTCTTTCTCTCTCTTACTATTCTCTTATTAAAGAAATAACTTAAAATTTTTTCTCTGTGTGCATTAAATAGCACATATACAATAAGTGTTAACTTTTATCATAAATGCCTCAATCTCTTGGCTTTCCCATGTGAATATAATATGTGTTAAATATCACAATACCAGGGCCAGCAGGTGGCATAGTGGCTAAGGTACTAAACTCCCACATGACTGACAGCAGTTCAAGTCCTATACCTGATGACTTGAAAATCACTCCAGGCATGTGTGTGAGTGTACCCAAAATCCCAAGAGGAGAATGGAGGAGAAAGGACTATGGCGTAGCCATTTCCCCATCCCAGGGGGAGTGATTTCTCACTTTTCCTTTTTCTATCCCTCTCTGTCTCTCTCCAGGTAAGCACATCTGCCCTATGGGGGGGGGGAGACCATGAATAAATAAATAAACAAATAAATAAATATCAAAATACCTATTTGATAATCAGTTTGGACATTAATTCAACCAATATTTACTGGGTAGCGACTATATATCAGATGATGTATAATATTGTGCAAATAAGAGTCATGTGTTACTTAACACCTGCTGAGAAATGTGTCATTATGTAATTGTTGTCACTGTGCAAATATCATAGGCTATACTTACACAAACCCGGGTAGTACAGCCTACTACACACCTAGGTGACGTGGTATCATCTTACGGGACCACTGTCATATAGGCAGTTCACCTTGATCAAATGTCATCATGTGGCATATTGCCATATACTGAAATAACATTCTGTAAAGAAAAATGTATAGATTTTATTTTTATTTAGAAAATTCTGAGTGTATATGAACTTGCATCTAAAAAAGAAATGCTCGTCTCCAAAATTGGCTAAGGAAATTGAGAGAATGTGTTCGCTAACCCCAAATTTTGTTTTGACAGACACTAAAATAATAGAATGGAGGAAAGAGGGAAAGCAATTCTGCAGGTGCCTTGGCCTTATATTATTAAGGGTATATTTTAGACTCTCCTAAAGACCACAAGCTCGCTTTTCCTGAAAATCATTATATTTAGGTGACAAAACAACAGGGAACAAATTCAGACAAGGCTCTCCTATTTTCAGTTCACAATGATGTCATTTTTAAAAACCCATTATGTCGGTCAGAAACTTAATGATTAGTTAGTAGTAGGAGTGGTGTTCAATCTTTCAGTTCTTCCTAGGAAACACTGCAAAGTCATCCTTCTACCAACTAACCACCGAAATTTGTCAGGCGTCAGCTTTTGAACTATGCAGTGAAAAGGTTGAAGTATTTCCATATTTTTTGAGATATTTTTGCTAAAGTACACATGTGCTCACCAGAGAGAGAGACACACACAGAGAAAAAGTGAAAAATCATCCCCCAAGAGCCGGCCATGCCACAATCTCCTCTCCTCCATTCTTCTCTCTGGACTTTGGGCACCAGTGCACATGCCCCAACCACCATGCCACCTGCTGGCCCTGAAGTATTTCAGTTTTATCCTTGGTCGTGCCTTTGCTCCTTCCGCTCCAGATTTTCCCTTCCCCAAAAGAGGTATCAGAGCACAAAATTTTAGGAACTGGGTGAAGGTTGTAGACGCAATCCAGTCCAGCTGGTGAAGTTTGAACACCATGCTTAAAGTCAAATGTTCTTGAGGACATCGACACAGATGTCTTCCATCCCAGTATGACTGTACTTTGACCTACAACGTCTTCCGTATTTTGTGTAAATAAGATTTCTTCAAAAATTAATTATTAAATTTTATGGAGAAACACTACTGAACTTCAATAACATTTCTCAGTGCTATAATAGTTAACAGGGACTTTTGTTGTTAGTGAAAACTAAGTTACCTTCATGGAACTAACAGTTGTCTGAGAGCCCAGGAAACTGTAAGATTCCAACATATATAACAGAACCCAGGGAAAGAAGAGATGTAATTCCCTAATTGAAGGACATGATACCCCAAATCCTTTATGAAACAAGGTGCTAAGGATTATACTTTGAAAAATCTACTTGGGCAATATCTTTAATTTTCTCTAAAACATCTTGCAGAGTCATAATTCCCTACTTTTCCCTTTTCTTTGCTTACTGAAATCAAAGTGTAATTAAGAAGCTGAGCTCCTTGGGGCCAGCAGGTGGTGTGGAGGTTAAGGTACCTGGATCCCACATGTCCACTGAACCCTGTGGCTTGAAAAATCATACCTGGCCCCTGTATCTGAGTGCCCAAAATCTGGAGAGGAGAATGGAGAAGGGATTGTGGTATGGTGGTTTCTTTCTCTCTCGCTTTCTATAGCAAAACTAAAAATAAATACATTTTAACAACAAAAATAATAATACTTAAAAAAAAGCTTAGAAAAGCACTATTCTTCTCTGCATTTACATTTCCGAATGTCCTAACACAGTTGTCACTCTGCTGATGTGAGTTTCTTTTCCCTTTTAAAGCGTCTGCTATTTAGACTTGAGTTCTGGCTACGAAGGGCGATGCGGGGTAAATGTAGCGACCGCTAGCCAGGATTTATTCTCAGCACTCTGGTGGCTTCGCTTCCCCACACCGCTCTCATCGCGCGGATGCGGGATGCGTGCCTATTTTCTCAGGTTTATCGCCTCGGAAGTTTCTGGAGCGCTCTCGGCCTCTCCCCCAACCCCTGCACGACCTCTTCTGGCCACAGCATTTTGCTTTGGCCACCGTGCGCGCGCCAGCATCGTCCCTGGGACCTGGGCGTGCGCTCGCCCGACCCTGGCACGCCTGGCACGCCTGGCTCGCAGAGCTGAGATCCTGGAGCTGCGGGGTCACGCCTTCTCGCCGGAGCCTCTTTCCTCTCCCATTACAGCCCTTTCCTTTAAGACGGGCGGCCTCGCTCCTCACCAGCCAACCACAAACCAGAGGGGAGAAAAAACTTCTGACTTGAGACGCACACAGAGCAGAAGATTGTCGGGTCACGGAAGGCGACACTGCTAGCCAGGCTGGCCCTCGGACGGCCCCAGGTGCCTGGGCGCAGGCTGCCCCCGGGGTCACGCTAGCTAAGGGTTGCCCGCTGGGCAGAGGCTGCGAAGAGCTCAGCCAGCCTGGGGACAGTGTGGAGCTACCAGAGCCGGCGGACCGGAGAGGGATCAGCGGGGCGGGATTCTCAGAACTGACAGAAGAGGGTCGTAAGCCCGGGAAAGAGAACCGGCGGGACGGTGGCCACCAACAATGGCATGGAGGGGACTGTCCTTTCTCCTCCCTTCTCCACTGACCTCCAGGCCTAATTATACTCACACTAACCCCCCCCACACACACACACACACTCCCCTGCCAAACAAGCGCGTTTACTGATCCCCAGTTGGGGTGGCGGAGACTGGGGGCCAGGGCAAAGTGTGCAGTGCGGGGTCTCGGGGTACCTGCAGGGCGAGACAGCCCAGCGGCGCCCCTGCCTCGGAGCTGACAGCCGCACTCGCCGAAGGAAGGAGGCGCTCCTGGCCGCTCCTCCGCGGCTCGCGGGCGTCACACCTGGAGAGCCCCGGGCGGCGGGCGGTGGCAGCACGAGAAGTCCCGGCGCGCCCCTCTCTCCACTGCACAACTTTGCGCAGCTAGCGCCGCCCTCGCGCCAGCCTCCGGTCCTTACCCAAGTACTGCCGCAGGTCCAGCAGGAAGCGAGGGGGTCCCCCGCTGAGCTGGTAGAAGAGGGAGCCCAGGCAGAAGACCAGCAGGGTGGCCATGCAGAAACCGTAGTCCCGGAGGGAGAAGCGCAGGAAAGGCAGCAGGGAGACCCGGCGCTTCCAGCTGCCCAGGCCCAGAGGGGCGCCCCCCAGAGGGGCCCCATGGGGCCAGGGATCCGCGCCGCCGCCGGGATGCTGCTGCTTCTTCTTCATCGGCGTGTTTTGTCCCGCTTCAGGCTCCTCTAAAAAACGGCAGGGAGGAACAGGAGGCGGACACCATCCCCTCGCTCCACCTCCTTGACAGGGGTTTCCCTCCCTCTCCTCCCCTTCTCCCTCCGGCGCTCCGCAGCCCGCTCCTTTCCCCTCCCTCTCCCCGTCGGGTCTCGGGATTTCGCTCGGGTGTCACATTACTGCTTCTGCAGGGGGCGGGGGGGGGGGGAGATTATTCACAACAAGGAAGAAAGTTTCTAGGTGTTCTTTTTTTTTCTTTCTTCTTTTTCTTTTTTCCTTCCCTCCTTCTCTACAATCTAACCTCGGTTTCTGCGCCACCAGCGACCTCTTGGGGGCCCCGCTGACTTCCCTTGTAAACAGTCCCCGGCAGGAAGAGGCACGGCTGATTTTACTATACGGATTTTTTCATTTCAGAAATTTGAGTCTCCTATAGCCATGCGAGCTGCTTCCAAAAGGTCGCTAAAAGGTACTAAGGTTCGAGACTTGGCCGAGACGGGAAAAAAGAGCAAGTGGCGTGAGTTAGGATGGACGCTGCTCCTTTGGGCCAAGCTCGCCGCCGGCTCCCTCTGGAACCGAAGCTGGAGAAAACGCTTTCTTCTTGCTGTGCCAGGTCCTGTAGCCGCTCCCCGCGCAGCGACCAGAGGGGCGAGTGCAGGGTACACAGCTCCCACAGGAGTCGGGCCTCTGGCACACGGGAAGGAGGAGCCTGCCCCCTTACCTGTTTCGCTGCTGCCTCTCTAACCCCACACGGCGAAGCTTCTGGACCTAAGAGAGAACCACCAGAGGCGGACAGCGACCCGCAGACACAGACCCTCTGATGGTGTGGGTGGCTCACGAAAGGGCTGCCCTCCTCGGCCACACTCTTAGGAGGAATACTTGATCGCCATAGGTGGAAGCTCTGTGAGTTTTCAAAGGCCACGGAGCTAGTTGGAGCCGGCTAAGGATCTGCTCTCAGATCCGTTTGACCTCAAGCCCACCATGCTGACCGTGGCCTGGGACGGTCTCCCAGATAGGGCTCCTTTTTCGTCATTTGTAGGGCGACCGCAGGACGAGACGTAAGCCAGGTAGCCCAGACCATCCTGAGAAACCGACCCCTGGGTTTCTGCTGCCTCTTTTTTTCTGGGTCCCTACTCACTGTGCTCTTTCTCATATTCTCATATCGTTAAAACAAAACAAACAAAAACCCTCACAATTTAAGAAAAAGAATATGGGCCAGCTCTGTGACCTGGTCATTAAGGCTGCCAAGTCCCACAGGGTTGTCTCCACAGTTGGAATCGGTCCTCATGGGTTGAAAAACGCTGGGCAGGGAACCAGCATTTAGCGTAATGGCTATGTCGCTGTACTCCCACGTAATCGACCGCGGTTTGCGTCCCGGACACAGTGGCTTAAAACTCACGCTGGGCGCGTGTGCATTTGTGCCCAAGATCCCGAGAGGAGAATGGAGGAGAAGGGATTGCGGCGTGACCATCCCCTCTGGGGGGTGAGTTCTCACTTTCTGTCTCTATGTCTCTCTCTGTCTGGCGAGTGCACGTGCCCTATAGTGAAAAACCTCTCCAAAAGAAAAAGAAAAACGCTGGGCACATGTGCGTGCATACCCCAAGACTCAATAGGGAGGAGAAATGGAGAAGGAATTGGTGTGGCCTTGCCCCATCCAGAGTACTTTCTCTTCCTCCTTCACCTCCTCCTTCTCTCTTTTTCTTTGGTGAACACACAGTTTCTCTGGTAAACAAAAAAAAGAAGAATATGACTTAACCATAATCCATATGTAAGTATCTCTGGTTCATAACTTGCAACATGAGTGAAGAAGACAGATCATGAGCTAGAGAGAGTTCTAGAGGAGTTGACAGTATCACACGTGCACTCACAGACTCACCTGCGCATGCGCACAAATCCTCCCTAGTTTCCTATTGTCCTAGCCCTCTTTCTTTTTTGCCTTCCTGCCTTCCCTCCTTCCTTCCTTTCTTCTTTTTTTTAAATTTTTTAAATTTTTTTAGGTTTTTTGCCATAGGGCACATGCACTCACCAGAAACAGAGAGACACAGAGAGAGAAATCACCCAAAACCCCCCCCCCCCCATGGGACAGCCATGCCACAATCCCTTCTCCTCCATTCTTCTCTAAGGATTTTTGGCATACAAACAACCAGTGTGATTTTCAAGCTGCTAGGTCTGGAACTCAAATAGTGGTCAGCCATGTGGGAGTCCAGCACCTTAACCACCACACCACCTACTGGCTCTCTAGCCTCCATTCTAAACTAGGAAGGCTACGTTGGGGCCTCCAGGGAAAGGAAACCCCTTTCATATGTCACAGAAAACTTCAGAGTGTTAATGGTTTGTTTCACATTTATTCCCTGACTCAGACTTATTAAGATGAATGTGCACATTTTAGAAACGTGAATGCCCCTGAGAGAATTTAGATGATCAGTCATCAACCGTTAATGTGAATTACTTTAATCAGTGCAATGAGTAGCCCAGAATAAACTCCCAATTCATAATTGTTGAGTTTATGAAAAGGGCCTGGGAGACGGGAGGAGTATAGCGTTTCTGGAATGTCTCAGCCCACCTTTGACAAAGCAGACCAGCAATGTGGATGCTTGCTCATGTTAAATAGGATGGCACACCCCTTGTGTTCACAAGTCCTCCCCCATCTCCCCATGCCCGGCATCTAGAGATGTCCTTCATGGTGTGCTTTGGGAAACCTCATTCCTTCTCCTAAAGGAAGGAATCTGAGGATCAGGAAGATGAGCAGTAAGTAAGGAAACAAACATCTGAGAAATAAGTAAATGGGGAATAAAGGTGGGTGTTTGTTTGCTTTCAGGGAGAGATTTTTGCTATAGAGTGCGTGCACTTGTCAGAGAGACAGAGACAGACGGAAAGACAGAAAGGCAGAATTTATGCCCCAGAAGGGATGGCCACACTGCAAACCATTCTCCTCCATTCTCCTTGGGAATTTGGGCACACATATACACATGCCCAGTATGAGTTTCAAGCCACGAGATCTGGAACTTGAACCACTGTCGGCCATTTGGGAGTCCAGGACCTTAATCATCATGTCGCACACACACACACACACACACACACACACACACACACACACACACAAACTGAAAGTTATAGGAAAGCAAAAGGAAACAAAGTCCAGTTTAGAAAAAACAAACTACAGTAAGAAGAATTTTAAAGAGAAATAAACATATCTGGAACCAGCAGGTGGCGTGGAGGTTAAGGCACTGGACACTCCCACATGGCCGACAATGGTTCAAGTCCCGGACCTGGTGGCTTGCTTTTTCTCC